CATCTAGAAACCAGCCATGACACTTAGTTCTTTTTTCTTGTAGAGGATGAAGATTTCTCCATCTTGCTGGCAGCATTAGAAAGTAGGTGTGTGGCTGTGATCAGGAGCTGGTTTGTCAGGGGCTGTTGAGCTGTGAGGTGCTCACTGAGTTCTCTGCAGGGTGTTCCTGCCCCTAGGGCTGTAGGGTGGGCCAGCCTGAGCACTTGGGTGGTGGAGGGGGCGGCTCTGAGTTCCCATTTGGGTCATTGAGTGACCAGGCCTTAGATCTGAAGTGCCACCTCTAGGAGAGTGATCTGTGTCTGGAAGGTGTCCCCTCCCCTCACCCTTCCCCATTCCTTCCCTCACCTGAGATGATCCTGCTTATCACGTGTTTATTTTCCTAAACAGAGTTTGAACAGCTAATCCTGAATGGAGAAAGTTTTCCTTCTCTGGTCTGTGTGATAACAGGTACTGTCTGGGACCCTCCATGTTGCTCTGTGTAGGTGGGGGGCAGTGGAGAAGGGGGAAGGCAGCTGCCTTGGGGTCTTTCCTGCATCAGCCACGTAAAGCCCCTTCTCTCCTTAACCCTCATGGCAGCTCTCTGACATAAGATTTTCTATACCCATTTGACAAAGGGTGAAACCGAGGCTCAGAGGAACCTCATGGCAGAGCGTGGAGTCTAGATTTGAACGTCAGATAGTACACTCAGGGATCCTGAGCTTTTCACTTCTGCAGTGGTTTGCAGGCTTTTTATTTTTATTTTTTTTTAAATAAAGAGGCCACTCTCTGACATAAAACTGCTTCCAGAGTCGCCTACTGGGAAGAGAAGCAGGGAGCTATAGTCAGAGGAGAAGGGTCCTGGGCCCGCCGTCCCAGCTTGCACACTCCCCTTCTCCTGGCCCCTGGGCCACTAGGGTAGCAGGTGCCCGCTGCGTGTGCCTCACACCTTTGAGGGGCTTCTCCGGGTGGGGCCTTGGATGGAGTCGGAGATGGGCCCAGTGCAGTGACTCCCGATTTTCTCCGCAAGGCAAAGGGCCTCTGAAGGAGCACTACAGCCGCCTCATTGAGCAGAAGCATTTCCAGCACATCCAGGTCTGCACCCCGTGGCTGGAGGCTGAGGATTACCCCCTGCTTCTAGGTAAGAACACCTGGCAGGAGGCCTGCAGGGAGAGGGCTGAGATTTCAGAGGGAATACTTTAGGACCAGGGGACTGACTTTTTCCGAAAATGGCCAGATTGTAAATATTGTACTGGCCTCTGTTGCATAGCTTCTTTGTTTTTACAACCCTTTAAAAATTAAAAGCCATTCTCAGCTCAAGGGCCACACACAACAAAGGTTTCAGACTGGGTTGGGCCCTGCTTCAGAAGCCACCTGGGACGGGTAGATGCCACCTGCCAGGAACCTGTTGGAGGAGCTTTTGGCTGAACTCCAGGAAAAGAGGCTGTTTCCTAGTGTGCCAGCTCCCTCTTGCCGGGTGAGCTCGGGAGCTGTTGGCCAAGGGACTCTAAGAGGGTTATGTCCTCTTAGCCACCACGCCCTCCATTCAGTCCTGCTCTTCTGTTCAGGAGGAAGAACTCAGCTGGGCTTGGGTTGGGGCCCACTCTTCTCCAGATGTGGGGGGGGGGTAGTGCAGAGGTGACACGTAGAACTGTGCCGACTGTCCCAGTGGGGATGCCCTCCCCTCCTCCTCGTCCCATTGTCACTGCTCTGGGGAGGGAAGCCTTGGCTTGGTGCTGATACGTCCCTCAGGCCTCATCTTCCAGGAGCCAGGAAGCAGCCCTGGGCAGAGAGCCTTTGGTGGGCAGGCCTTTCCAGCTGGTATTTAGTGACATGAAGTTGTTTATTTGGCTTTATTTTCAGTGACAGCTGGTTTTCTCTTGAGTCTGCTGTGGGTTCTTTTTCTAATTATTGTGATAACAAAGGTTGCTATTTTAACAATTTTTCCATTTTTTTGGTGTAGATTCAACTCAGTGGCATGAACTACATTCACAGTGTTGTACAGTCACCATCACTGTCTGTTTCCCAAACAGTCTCAGCGCCCCAAGCGGAAACTCTGACCCCAGGAAGCATAATTGCTGTGGAGTCTTTTAAAATAAATTGTGGTTAAATAGAAAAAGGGAGTCAGTTTAAATAGAAATAGTAATAGGCAGGTAGTTTTCAGACAGGGCTGAGTGGCCAGGAGCGGACACTGCTGTGACCCCCTGCCCTGCACCAGGCTGCTTGGCCAACTCCAGCCAGTTGTATGTGGGGTGGGGAGTGTTTTCCACTCCCAGTTCCCCACCGGAGGCGCTGATCCACAGTCCTTGCTGCATGTGAGGTCAAAGGGAGCCCGGCCAGTGCTCTGACAGCCCCCACTCTCTGTAGGGTCAGCAGACCTGGGCGTCTGCCTGCACAAGTCCTCCAGTGGCCTGGACCTGCCCATGAAGGTGGTGGACATGTTTGGATGCTGCCTGCCCGTGTGTGCTGTGAACTTCCGGTGGTAGGAGCGGAAATGGAATCTTACTAGAATTAGGAGTTAGGTTCTCAAAGCAGCAGCTGGGGGGAACCAGTGTAGTCAGAGATGCCCCTCAGAAAGGCGCCACCTCCCGATCTGTGCAGCTCGGCCAGGTGGTCCTGGGGCGTAGGAGTCCTCTCAGATGGGCCAAGTCCTGCTGCAGGAGTTGGCTCCCACTTAGAGCTCATGTTGAACAAAAACTACATGACCTAAATAATCAACTTGGGGCTTGTGCTCAAAGGATAAAGTAGGGGCTGGAATTGCCCACACAATTTACATGATTTTATTTCTCTCTCGGTCTCTCTTGTCTGAGCTCATTTTCTTGGATTCAGATCAGTTAAAGGAGTATAATTCTCTGTCTCCACTCTTCCTGGAGATGAGTGTTTGGAGGGCAGTGTTAGAAGAGGCTCTGGAAACAGTCCCTTCCACGGGCTGAGAAGCCAGCCTCTGGACGGCAGTCAGGATGTTAGACTCTCACATGAGCTGAGCTCTGCATGCTGTGCTACCCAGAAAAGTCACCCTTAATGTGCTGAGCCTACTTCCAGTTGCCCTTTACCTTGTTTCTTTGCTGTGCGATTAAGAGAAAAATGCAGAACCCACTGAGCACATTCTCACTGGGAAGAGCATGGAGCAGAAGAGGTCAGATCCCCATTCACTGCCCCTCTGTCCCCACGTTGGTTTGGGGTTTTGATGTGTATCCTCCCAGGACTATTTTCTTTTCAGATGTCAAATCTAAGAACAGATTCATTGGAACCAGACTGACTGTTCCTAGCCCTGAGCTTAGCCTGCGGGTGGGGAGTGGTGGTGTGGGGGTCCAGGTGGGCACCATGGGGTTCTGGTTTCTTCTCCAGGCAGCTCTTAGGCCTCCCTCAATTGTCTCCGCAGCTTACACGAGCTTGTGAAACATGAGGAAAATGGCCTGATCTTCCAGGACTCAGAGGAACTGGCGGCTCAGCTGCAGGTAGCCACATCTGTTGCCACATCTGCCCCTGTGCCTGGGCTTGCAGGGTTTGGAGGCTGGCAGAGCCATGCTCCTGGATTCCTGGCTCCTGCAGCCCAGTGGGCCTGTGCTGGGTCTGGGTGAAAAGCAGTAGGGGGAGCACTGGTCCCCGAGGCTGGGCCTCAGTGGGCTCAGGGGAATTAAGGGCTATCCCACCCGCGGTCTGGTTTGTGGAGCTTCTACCATGCAGGTGCTGGTGCCCAGGTGGACTGTGTATGTCCCCTTAGGGAGTGACTGCATATCAGGAGGGAGAGTGAGGAGTGAAGGGAGCTTCCTAAACCAGTCTTGCAAGATGGGTGGGAATCTACAAAGGATACTTCTTTCTTATTACAAGAATATATCAATAATTTTGACAATTGAGATCACGGGTGGCAAACTTTCTGCAAAGGCCCAGCTAGAAAAATCTGTGGTGCGACTGTGTTTCAATAAAACTTTATTTACAAAGACAGGTGGAAGGCCAACTTTGGCCCACAGGATGTAGTTTCAGACACCTGACTTAGTTTAGCAAAACTGGAAGGAATGCAGACATTGCCTGGTTCCCAGCCCGTGGGCTGGATGGTGCTGGGCAGAGGCCGAGGGGTGGATGCTCTTGGTGGCAGGTACAGCACTGGTAGGCGGGGGCTACTGCAGGTGGGCGTGTGGACGGCTACCACTGCAGCGAGGCTGAGCTGTCGAGCCAGGCTGGGGCGTGAGGGCTCGAGAATGCCTGGTGCAGGAGGGGGCTGGCTGGGTCGAGGGTGTTGGGGTCGGAGATGTCAGGACCAGTTCAGCAGGCTGAGGGTGGAAGCTAGGCCGGCGGCACAGGGCGGCCCCGGGAGGCTCTTGGACCCTGTTGGCAGTAGTGCGGCCACAGAGGGAGGGTTTCAGAATCCCTGGCCTGGCAGCTGGTGTTTGGGGGGTGGCAGGGGTCCAGGCTGCTGGGAAGGAGGGGCAGGGGAAGCAGTGATGAGGGAAGTTTTGTCTTTTTTTCCTTCTAGATGCTTTTCTCAAAGTTTCCTGATCCTTCTGGCAAGCTGAACCAGTTCCGGAAGAACCTCCGCGAGTCTGAGCAGCTTCGTTGGGATGAGAACTGGAAGCAGAGAGTTCTCCCTTTGCTTATGGACACATGACTCTGTGGTCCAAAGACTGAACGCCCCTGAGCATGTCCTGGTGCCAAATGTCACGAAAGGGGAGACCCTGATGCTGCTGCCCACCCCACTCTGCTCTCCTATGTTTCTTACCAGAAACCTGACTCACTCCCCTCCCCAGACTCTCAGCTGCTGCCCAGTCCCTGGGCCGACTGTTCAGAGCAGCGCCTCCCAGTGGATGATAGTTGGAAGGACAGCAGCATGTGCCGCTGTGGAATGAAGTTATTTCCCCACTTTCCTTTAAACTTCCTTTAAGAGGCAAATTCTGAAAGTTTCACGACATTTTTGGTCAATAAAAAGTCCTACGGTCATTTCTAAGTTGCCTAGCACAGTCTCAATTCAGGACAGATCGGTGAGGGCAGCAGGAAAGTTTTCACGGAATTGGTGCTGGTGTAGACGGCTTCCCACCTCGGGAACATTTAGTCGCACGCACACCTGTGGGAGGCTTTTCTTGGGCTGGTGGCTCGCTCTGAGCCTCCAGTTTTGGGAGGTCCAGTCCACACAGCCTGTTGGAAGTCCCAGCACTCGCTGTAGTCAGCTTTCTTTTTTGAGAATGACTTAAACACCCGCAGCCAGCGGGTCTGAGGGCCTGTGTGCACTGTCAGTCAGCATTAACACGTCAGAAAGGGGGCAGTCTCACACCAAAGGGCCAGAAACAACTTGTAGTAAGATGGAGACGGCCGTCTACCAAGTGAGGTGCTCGTTCCCAGTGTAAACTGTCGAGGGAAATCTGCGAAAAACCATCACACCACTCTGCGCATCGTCAACGGTAAGAGTTGGGTGGTTGGGAGGGTGAAGGGGAGTTGGGTCAAGGACTTGGTCCCAGGGCACTGCAGTGTGAGACCCACACCTTCCAGGTCGGGAGAGGAGGTGTCTGCCTCACACCTCAGACCCCGTGAGGGGCGCCCACGGGGCCACACGTGGCAGTAACTCAGCCTCTGTGTGCAGGGGATGTGGTGGTCTGGCACATCAGACGGCTAGACAGGTTTACCAGAAGAGCTGAGGAAGTGTCAGTGTTGGGGTCTGAGTGAAGTTATTTTAATGACCAGGACTTTGCAGCCCAGGAAACTGGTTCAGTCTGGTTTCTTCCTTGGTGGCCCCGAGTCACTCCCCTCTTTCCTCATTTTTTGAGTCTTTTCTTTCCCTCCGTTTATTACTTTTCTGTTACTTGCCTGTGGCCTGTTCAGCATCATACTGTCCCTGTTTTTGTCTTCTGGTGTGTGCCTCTCAGCATCTGCTCTGTTGTGTCCTGAATATTGTCCAGGACGGAGGAAACATACTTGATATATGTGTTTTTACTTGCACAAATGGAAGCTTACCTCTGAGCCAAAACTTTCATTTGTTTATGGTGATTTGCTTATGAACCAGAACTGCTGACAGAAAGGGGCAACCACATGCCTCAACAGTTTATGTTTTATTAGAACGTAGTTTGTGGTTCCTGATTCAGAATTTAACATTCTTCAAACATTGAAGTCCAATGGCAGTTTTATCAGCTTTTCCCAGATAAAAACTTTTCCCTTGGTGATTTAATTTTCACAGCTATTTTCAAAAACGCTTGTTGTAAACCTACAACATTAGTTTCAGAATTGCCATCTCCGAGTGCTCTTCATAGGGAAATAGTTTCTGGCTGTGATGAGGCACCGCTTCCCATGAGATCCCAGCGCGGCCTGGAAACAGAGCATGTGTGTCTCAGGATGGGGTGGGGCTGTAGGACAGGCCTGGTGGGTTACAAACCAGAGTTTCAAGCCCCACCCAGACACCCAGGAGCGGCCACTAGAAGCAGGACCAGGAATCCTGTTCTTAAAGAGCTCGTGACAGCCAGCTTCGATGCCCCTGCCCGTCAGGCCATACCCGCCTGTGAAAGGTCACGGCCTGTCTTGGTTCCCTGTGGCGCTCTGCACCTGTCCTCTACCCTGTCACCAGGTGCAGCTCAAGTGGAGCCAAGATTTGAACCTGCCCGACCTGACTGCTCAGCCTGGAGCCTCCTCAAAATCTGGACACGCACCTGAAGGGGGTCCTGGCCTCTTCATAAGCACAGGTGTCTGAAGAGCTGTCGGCAAGGTTCATTTTATCATCAGTTTTTTTTATGAATGAAAAGTTATATTTAAAAGGAAATGTGAGACGTGAAAGTGTAGAAGCGTCTATAATCCTGCCATCCACGTATAGTAACTGTTAACTACTGTATATTCTTTGAGATTTCCTCCATATGAATTTTAAAATAAAGGTGATTATTTTTTAAAATAAGAATTGGGTTATACTATATTACCTTTTGGCACTTTGTTTTCTTCACTGAAAACATGTTGTAGACTTTGACGTCTGCCAGGTGGGAGGGGGTTGGGGGACATGGGTGAAAAAGGTGTAGAGACTGAGCAGCTGTGTGGTGGTTACAGAGCGGCCCGGGGACGTGAAGTGCACCACAGGGAATGTGGTCGATGATACTGTGATAACTCACGGTGCCAGATGGGTACAGAGTTATCGGGGCGATCACTGTTGTAAGTTATACAGACGTGAAACCATGGGTTGTACACCTGAAACTAACACAATCCTGTATGTCAACTGTAATTTGAAAATAAAAAATGTTTAAAAAAATAAAATATAGATATTTTTACCTATAAGTATCTGAAGGACTTCATTCTTTTTCGAGGCTGCACAGCACTCTGCCAGTGGGACGTTAGCACATGTGGGCAGGCGTTTGGGTGGTCTCTCTGTCTGTCTGTCTGTTTGTTAGCAGAGGCTGCTGCAGGTGGGGCTTTGTTTGTGGGCGGGGGTGGGTGTTGGGCAAACGGGTCCTCCTCTGCTGCCAGGTTTTGAGCCTGGCGGGCCTGGAAGGCCGGGTGGGACCTGGCGTGTGGTTGGGTCGTGGGGTGGGGGCGTCAGGGGCCGAGAGCAGGAGCTGGCTGCCCGGCTGCAGTCCTTGGAGCCGGGGTGGTTACTTAGCCTCCCTGCACCCTGGTGTTTCCAGGGGTGACATGGAAGACGACAGCACACCCCTTCCAGCTGCTAGACGGGCTGGCACACGTCTGGTCTGAGGGGACGGTGCCTGACCCACAGCAATGCCAGTTCAGGGCTGTAAATGGCAGGCTCCTCCCCCTTCTCTGAAGTTACCCGTTGTTCTTCCATTTCCTGGGTGCTGAACCCAGTAATAGCAGTGACTGTTTCCTGAGTGTTCCCCACGAGCCGGGCTCTGTCCCACCTCTCCGTGGATGCTGCTGCTGTACGATGACCCAGAGGCAGTGACAGCCCAGCCCTACCAGGGCGGGTGGTGGGTCCACCTCCAGAGCCTGTGCCCGACTGCTGTGTAGCCCGAACCACATCTACCACGACACCTATTGGCATCCGCCATCCCTTCCACTCTACAGGCAATGAAACAGGCCAAAAGGCCCTGGAAACCTGCTCTAAACACGGTAGGGCTGCTGGTCTCAGCCCTCCAGGATCACGGCGTGAGATGCTTCCATTCCCCCAGAGCCCATCCTCCAGCCCTGCCTGCCCTGCTGACCTTCCGGGCAGGAGTCGGCAGGGCTTCCTAGTTTGTTTTTAGGGCCCATTCTTTCACTGCTCTTATTTCTGCCTCGCTGGAGGCTGGCCCGGATGGCCTCTCCGAGACAGCGGCCTGTCCTGGGGTCCTGGGGCTCACCTAGCTCAGTGGTGAAGAGCCGGCACGTCTCTGGGTTGCGGATGGTGAAGGCGATGTAGGCGTCGAGAGACTGCTCGTCCTTCCGGCAAGCAGACAGCCTCTGCAGGACCCTGACCAGGGACAGGATGACTTCCGGGCAGTACAGCACATCTGCAACGAAAACCCCAGGTTACTGACGCGCACTCCCTCTAGGATTCAGGCCCCCAGAATCGAGGACGCTGGGTTGTGCCAGCCTCGGCAGTGGGGCAAGGGCCGGGAAAACAGCAGTTCTATTAGATGGAAAGAAAATTATTTGGTAGAAAAAGAAAATCCTTAGGAGAGAACAAAAACTGCTGAAAATACAACTGAAAAATATCCAAGACTCACTGTGTTCCTTAAAAAAAAAAAATCAATTGCCCATGGCCTATCCAGAAGATGCTTATAATAAAGCAAACTCTGAGTCGGCTTCTGACTTCTTGATTGCAGTGGCCTATCGCTCTGCCCTCTGCAGTGCGGGGGAACGAGCTTGTTCCTGCCCGACGGCCGGGCTTGCAGGGATGGGTGCCGCCCTGGCGTGTGCTGCTCGGGCTCTGCATTCTGGCCACCGTGTCTCTGTGGGTCTCAGGGCTGTGGCCCAGGACCGAGGCACAGTGTTGTCAGCCAGATGGGGGATGGGTCAGCTTGGCAGAGGATGAGGGGCTCGTTAGTTTTCCAGCCAAATACCTCTTCTCTTAAGGACCCTGTCCTTGACCTGGAAGTGACTAATCCCCTCCGTGGGGTATGCACCTGGGACAGAAACACGCAGGAACTCTTTCTTCTCAGGGACATGCAAACATGTGGTGATGACTCAGAGCAGACGGAAGCCACTGCTGCTGGCAGTGGGGACACTCAGCTCCTTCCCTGACTCAGACGCCAGCACAGTTGGACCCTCGGCCTGTGGGTGGGCACCCATGACACACAGCGGAATCAGACCCCGTCCTGGGAGGACTGTGGTCTTTGTGGACCTGCGAGGACAAGGCTGCCACAGCCGCTGCCCCCGTGCCCCACATGGAGACGCTCTAGCTGTTTGATTTAGGTTCTAGATGGGAACCGAGCGGCCTCCCTCAGGCTGCCAGAGGGGGACATAAAAGTCTGTCTGCTCCGCTGGGGTCTGGCTAATAGGTCAGACTGGCGTGGCACCCTGGGGCCTTTTCTGTCCATCCCAGGCCTTGCTGGGGACAGCCAGGGTCATTTATCTGATGGAACCACTTACAACGGGAGTGCATGTGGCTGTTTTCTTAAACAGGAGGACTGTGGCTTTAGGGCACCCACAGCCATGCCCTGTGCTTTGATGTCACCCTGGAGGTTCACAGTGACCTTTCCGGAAGTCTCATCATTACCCCCTCTGACTCTGCAGAGTCCATGGTCCCCTTCCCTGGACTGAGCTGGGTGCAGCCACAGGGAAGCCACGGGCTGAGCAGTACCTGCTGCGAGGAGGATGTCTGGCTGGAGGGCAGCGAGCTGAGGGGCTGTCACAGCGTCCCAGTCCAGCTGTTCCACTGTCACCACGGGGCTCTCTGAGTTGTGGGCGTTGTGTTCTGCGTGCTGTGCTGGGGCGGTGGCATCTGGCTCCAGCAAGAAGCCATTGAGAAGGATGTTCCCTCGGAGCTGCTCGAGGACATGGCTGTGACAGTCGCTGAAGATATACGCTCTAGGACGGCACGTTTTGCAGATGACCAGGCCGGTGAGGCCGGCTCCACTGCCGAGCTCTAAGACAGTCCTGAGTGGGAGGAGGGGACATGTGTCTGCAATTGTGTCCGGGCAAAACCAGCTTCAGGGCCCTGCCCTGTGCCCAGAGGTCACCTGTGAGTGAAAGCCGCTGTGTTCTCTAGGGCCCATTCTGCAAGGTAAAGCGCAGCACTCCACGTGACCAGGCCGGTGGTGCCGTGGGAAATGATGGCTGTGCTCTCAGAGAGTGTGACCGAGTCCCCGGAAGGCTGGACGGAGACAAGGAGAGAGAGTAATCCGGCTCCCAATCACAACGGGTGGGAGGGAATCAAGTTAAAATAAGGTCATTGGGGTGGGCCCTAACCCATTATCACTGAGTCCTCATAAACCGAGGAAGCCGGGACACTGAAACACTACAGAGGGGCAGTGATGTGGAGACAGAGGAGAAGACGGCTAAGCCGAGGGCAAGGCCTGGAACACGGCCTTCCCTTGTAACCCTGTGGACACCTTGACTTTGGAGTTGTAGCTTCCAAAACTATAAAGAGGATGCATTTCTTTTGTTTAAGCTACCCACTGTTAGGTACTAAAATGACACAAATGCTAAAAATTATAATTCGAGAAAGCATTCCTGAAAAAACCACAAAGATCTGAAGTAACACTGAGGGAGTGCACACACTGTGCCTGAGACCACTGGCCCAGAGCAACCCACCTCAGGACACGTTCCAGCAAAATCCCTGGACTTTGAGGAGAAAACCCTCTGACCATGTAAGAGAGAAGGGCACGCAGCACACGTCCACGGGAGACAAAGTCACATTCTCATTAGGCTTTGCTATAGCAATGCTTTATGCCAAAGAAAATGGACAAACATATTTAAGAGACACAAGAGAGAAAATGTGAGTCAGGATTCAAGTACGAATGGCTCAAACTGTTATCAACATGTAAGAACTCCAGGAAGGCCAATCCCAGTAGCTCTTCTTAAAGAATCTGCTAGAGAATGAACTTCAGAAAGCCAGAATGGCTAGAGAGATGTCAACACGTGGATTGAGGGGGAGCTCTAGAGATAGGTAGACTGGAAAGAGATTATGGAATACGTGCTAGGTCAATAATATCTAACCCCTAACCCTGACCCTGTGCCTGTGTCATGATACACGGCAAAGGGACCCTGAAGATGTGCTTAAGGTTACGCAACTTGAGATGGAGAAATTATCCTGAATTACCTGGGTGGGGTCAGTTTCATCACTGAGCCCTTAAAAGCAGAGCGTTTTTTCCTGGCTAAAGATGGAGAGATGCAGAGGAAAAAGAGGCAGGAGAGATTTAAATTGCAAGAGAAACTCGACCCACTGTTGCTGGCTTTGGCAATGAAGGGGCCATGAGCCAGGGAACAAGGGGTGGCCTTTGGAAGCTGAGAGCAACCCCTGGCCAAGAGCCAGCAAGGAAATGGAACTTGAGTCCTGCAGCCACAGGCAACGAAACTGTGCCAAAGACCTGCGTGAGGCCTGGAAACAGGTTCTGCTCGAGGGCCCAGCCCTGCCGACGCCTTGGTTTTAGGCCTGTGAGACTCGGAGAAGAGAAACCCGCAGAGCCCACCAGACTCGTGCCCTACAGAATTATAAGACAATACAATTTATGTTGCCTTAAACCGCTAAGTTTGTGATAATACCGTGTAATGCCCTTATCGTGACAGTGTACTTATGGCATGGCAACGAACGAACAAAGTGAGGGAGAATGGGGAGAGTACATATAAGAATTTTATACTGTTTTCAGTAACTATAATTGGTGTGCAGGATTAGCACTGTTGTTCTGAGATGCCACGTAAGTACTATGGGATAAAGCAAACAGGGAGTTGAGGGACATCTTAACATTTTCCCCTGTGTTCTTCAGAACCAGAATTCCAGTGTAGGAGGAAGGGGACATAGACACACAGTGAAAAGGTTGAGTGAAACCCTGCAGTTCTGATATTGAATCAGAAACATCAATATGGACTTATGGGGAAGTCTAGTATAAAAAGTAGGGATATAGGTACTTCCAGCCAAGCTGGAGGCGTAGGTGGAAACACTGTGCCTCTTCACACAACCAAGTATAAAGACAACAAAGTTTTAGTAACAAAAACGCAACCATAGCAGACAGAAAATTGAACTGTATGGAAGTCTGACAATGACGAACCCGTTCAGCCAGACCGGTAAGAGGGGCGGAGTCGGCGGCTGGTGGAGCGGGATTGCACATAAAAAAGTGTCCAGACAGACCCAGGTGCACAGGCAGCGTTTGGCAGATCCCAGGCGTGGGGTGGCCAGGGGCAGACCCAGTGAGGGTGCAAGGTGGCTGGCTGACCACGGACACACATTCTCATGCGCAGATAAACCAGGCAAAAAAACGAGCAGTGAGACAGATTGTGCAAACCAGGGCCCCAGTGCCTGGAATTAAAGCCTAAAAGCACCAACTGGAAAAACTTTCAGGGGTCAAGGTGCCGGGAGAGGCTCCCAGGCTCACAGAGAGTTTATTGGAGAGACCCACAGGGTCCTGGAGAATGCACAAGCCCACACATCCGGGAACCAGCACCAGAAGGACCCAATTTGCTTGCGGGAAGCAGCAGAGGGGACCGAAATCCAAGAGAGAGCAAAACGAGCGCCATTTTCCCCTCTCTGACTCTGCCCCCACATACAGTGTCACAACCCAGAGATGTGGGTTGCCATACCCTGGTGAACACCTAAGGCTTTGCCCCTTGTATGTAACAGGCCCGAACAGACTAAAACATTATGGCTCAAGAAGAAGAACAGCTCAAAGCCCCGAGCCAATAATTATAAGTGACAAAGAGATAGCCAACCTATCAGATGCACAGTTCAAAGCACTGGTGATCAGGATGCTCACAGAACTGGTTGACTTTAGTCACAAATTAGATGAACAAATGAAGGCTAAACTAAGTGAAATGAAGGGAAATGCACAGGAAACCAATAGTGATGGGAAGGAAACTGGGACTCAAATCAATGGAGTGGACCAGAAGGAAGAAAAAATGAGCAAACAGAAAAGAATGAAGAAACAAGAATTCAAAAAAAATGAAGAGAGGCTTAAGAACCTCCAGGACATGTTTAAATGTTACAACATCTGAGTTATAGGGGTACCAGAAGGGGGAGAGGAACAGCCAGGAGTGGAAAATTTATTTGAACAAATAATAAAGGAGAACTTCCCCAATCTGGCAAAGGCAATAGACTTCCAGGAAATCCAGGAAACTCAGAGAGTTCCAAAGAAGCTGGACCCAAAAAGGAACACACCAAGGCACATCATCATTATATTAGCCAAGATTAAAATGAAAAACAGAATCCTAGAAGCAGCAAGAGATAAAGAGACAATCACCTACAAAGGAGTTCCCATCAGACTGTCAGCAGATTTCTCAAAAGAGACCTTACAGGCAAGAAGGGGCTGGAAAGAAGTATTCCAAGTCATGAAAGGCAAGGACCTACATCCAAGACTGCTCTATCCAGCAAAGCTTTCATTTAGACTGGAAGGAAAGGTAAAGTGCTTCTCAGATAAGGTCAAGTTCAAGGAGTTCATCCTCACCAAGCCCTTATTATATGAAATGTTAAAAAGACTTATCTAAGAAAAAGAAGATAAAAAAGATGAACAGTGAAAGGACAGCAAACTCACAGTTATTAACAACCATTCCTTTAACAAAATCAAACTAAGAGGACAGCTAGATCACGAGTGAAACCATAGAAATGGCGATTATATGGAGGGTTAGCAACAGGGGAGTGGGAGGAGGAGAAGGGGGGAGAAGGTACAGTGAATAAGTAGCATAGATGGTAGGTAGAAAATAGACAGGGGGGAAGGGCAAGAATAGTATGGGAAATATAGAATCTAAAGAACTTGTGACATATGGACATGAACTAAAGGGGAGGAATGGTGGGGGAGGGGGTGTACAGGGTGGAGGGGAATGAAGGGGGGGAATAGAACAACTGTAATGGAATAATTAATAAAATATATTTTTTTAAAAAGTAGGGATATACATATCACCACTCATATCCCAGTCTGTCTGCTGGGAAGACCTACACTGTAGTGGTGAGCATCCTAATGCCCAGACTGTGCTCTCTAAACATCATTTCTTGTTAAAAGAAACTGGGGCTTGTTGGAGACATGGCTGATTCCAGGTCTGGGTAAGGAAATATACAAGGTGAATCTGGAGAAGCTGGACAAAAAAAATAAAGCAACGAAACTATTAGCGTAATGTCAAAAGGGCTCAGAAACCTACTTGAAGTGGCTCAAAGTAGGACATTTGGAGCTTTAAAAAAGACATAATTTGCACAGATTGAACCCCTTCTGGGGAGCATAGGCAACAAATTCACTGTCTTGAGAAGAAAAGATCAAACTTGGATCCTGCCTTTCCCTACAAGTTGTACCCATGAGTAAACAAATAGTGGACGGAGGGAGGAACCTCCTTACAAAATTTCTCTGGCTAATGAATGAAAACGAAATGATAGAATCAGGAAATCACCCTTTTGTATCCTCTGGTAAATAAACAAGTCTAACATTTGGGCATCCATAACCACTATCATTAAAAGAATGAAAAGCAGATATGATGTGCCTCCCAGAACTCCATGCTGTGTTCTTGGCAAAGCAATCAGACATAAACCTGTGTGTGTCTTTGAGTCCAGACACCAATTTTGGGGAAACTGAGGATGGAGGAACAAGCCGAATAGCACCACGTGTGAGCAACCGAAAGCCAGCCTGTGAAAAGCCGTCTTGCAAAACCACTGGGGCTGTGCAAAAGAGGCACCGCCAGGAAAGAAACAGCTGGGATGCAGGCAGGGCACCTGCGGGTGAAGGGAGGCTTTAGGCCACACCCAGTTAACAGCTAAGACAAAATGCTAGTGTCCAGGGGTGGACAGGGCAGTGATAAAACCTCAGGTTGATCAGTCTGAAAGACGGTGGTTACTTTCGCAGAGATGGGGGCTGGGATGGGGGCTGGTCAGACGGGGGCCTTGTGGGGTGGCTGTCAACGTTCTGTCCCTTGACTGGAGTGGCGGTTACCGTGGCGGCTGCCTTGCAGTGGCACAGTAAGCTGCATACTTCTTTTGTATGCTTTTCTGTATCTATGTTGTATTTTAGAGTAGAAAGTTAAAAACAGACAAACAAAAACATCCAAGATCCCTCTGGCTGTTGTGTGCAGAAAGAACTTTCGTGGGGCAAGAAGCTGAAGGCCAGTCAGAGGCCATGGCACTGGCCTAGGCTGGTGAGGCTGGTGGCAGGGAGAGTGGGAAGTGGCTGCTGCCCTATGACAGCCACCCATCAAGTATTTATTGGACACTGAGCACTAGGTCCCTGCTGTGCAAAGACTGTGCATTAGCTAATTTAATTCCCAGCCACCCCCATAAGATAGGTACTATTATTTGTCAAAGTGCTTGATTTACAGATAAAAAAACTAAGCTGCAGGGAGGTAAACTTGACTCCATCTAAGACCACAGAGCTGATGAGGATATAAACCCATGGGAGGCTGACTGGAGCCTGAATTTTAGCTCTGTGTGCAAAGGCGAGCGTCTGGCCTGTGTAGGGAGAAAGCGCATGGCTCCTACCAACAGATAAGTCCGGTGGCACGGAGTGGGCTCCTCGGCTGTCAGGACCTCCGCCAATGCCTCGTACAGCTCGTCGGAAGGCTCCTGGTGGACAGCTTCGTGCTGCGCGTGGGTGGAGTGAGAGCTTCAGCAAGAGCATTAACATGACCCTCGTGAATCAAACAAAGGCCCTATTTGTTTCTACTCTGACTTCTAAAAATGGCTGGAGGATTTTCACCAAATTTGAAGGGGCAGTTTGGGATGGATGAACATACTACGGGCCACCTGACAGATAAAAAAATTCCCTTGGTGGGGGAACCTGGGGTATCTCAAAGAGGTGTAGAGAGGGTGAGGGTGAGGGTAAGCTGTAGTCCAGGGCAGCGGAAATGGAATTGCAGGAGAGCTGCCGTGCGGCGGGGACAGAGACCTCTGCCCTTCGATCATGATGTCCTGGATGGAAAGCACAAACGGTGCTTTTAAGTGGGCCCAGGCAAAAGCCACAGGACAGGCACTCCACGTTTCAGGGCATGGCTTCATCGGTGGGCAACCCCCTGTCCTGTGCCCCAGGGGGGTGGGGCGGGGCAGCATCAGGTGGCCACACTTCTCCTGGTGGAAGGGGGAGACCTGCTGGTGACTCCAGCTGCACCATGCTGGTGAGAGATGGTGATGGCGGTAATGGAAAAGCCTGGATAATTCCACGTACCGAGCCTGGGCGAGGCGCAGCCCTTCTGTTCAGAGGCCGGACACATTGGGTCTGCTACTGACCACTGAGGAACTTACTGCCTTTCTGAAGTCCAGTCTAAGATGAAACTCAGTGAATTGGGGTTCATCCTTAAAATCCATCTGGTATCAGTCAGGAAAAGAGCCATTCCAGGTAGAGTCATTGGAGAGAAGGAATAAGGGGGGCTAGAGATAAAGGCACTGCAAGACCTAAAACCTCCATAGGGGACAATACAGCAGTCCAGAAACTGGCAGCAGCAGGAAACCAGCAACACCTCTCAGGTGGCAGAGCAGAGGGAGAAAGTGGGGATTCCAGTGCTCAGGGATGCCCAACGGGGATGAGAACTTGCATGGGGACCATAGAGGAGATGCAGCTGCTGCCAGAGATGGAGCAATACCCTGGCTTTTCCTTTCCTTCACCTCCCATGACCTTTCATTGGTGGAACCCAGCTGGCAGACTGTTGCCCAGGGAGCACCTGCCAAAAGGGGGTTTGCAGAGCAGGGGAAGGGCATAGGATGGATCTGAGCTACGACAGGCAAAGAGGGGCAGCGGGCCCACTTCTGAAGAGCCAGCCAAGTCCCAGATGCTGTGTGGCTCCCTGACAGACATGCCCACTGCTCACCTTTCTGATGAGCTCCGAGAGAAAGCACCGGGCATACTTCACCGATGGTGGATGCTTCACGCACAGAGGATGTTTCACAGTCTGTGACAAAGGACACATGTGAGTTGCTGGAGAGACCTGGTCTCATGTCTCCCATGAGCTTTAACTGAATACAGGACAAACCCCAGTTCCCCGATCCCTCTGCAAGGATATGCACAGACACAGGGGCTCTGGCTCCAGGTGATCCTCATGTATCTGAAAGAGTCTCGATAATAAGTCCTTTCCTAAAAAAAATTCTCTCCTACAGCAGCACAGCCTGTGGCAGTGTTTCTCATGCCCATTTGGGGCAGGACCATGGGGCATATGGATCCAAGCTAACACCCTGCTGTTGACTGGATGTCTATGTCTCCTCAAACACCTATGCTAAATCTAACACCCGATGCAATGGTATTATGAGGTGGGGCATTTAGGAGGTGATTAGGTCATGGAGGTGGAGCTCCCATGGATGTGTTTAGTGCTTCTGTAAGACAGACCACATAGAGGTCCTTTGTGCCTTCTACCATATGAAGACACAACGAAAAGATGGCCTTCTAAGAACCAGGTAGCAGACCCTCACTAGACACTGAACCTGCTGGCACCTTGATCTTGGACTTCCCAGTCTCCCAAACTGTGAGAAATAAATTCCTGTTATTTATAAGCCGCCTAGGCTATGGCATTCTGTCACAGCAGCTGGAATGGACTAAGACACAACCCTTCCCAGGGAAGCCAGCATGAATTAGAGTTTGCAGAAAGGATAAGTGTGGGATTGTCTGGCTCCGAGGAAGAGGCAAAAGCCCAAATGGTGGGAACACGGCAGACTTGGCACCCGTCCTCCTGGAGCTCACACCCTGGGCAAAGGAGATGAGCAGGAGCCAGACTGATGAGTGCTACGAAGGCCAAAGCAGAGGAAGATGGGGCTTCTGCCTGGGATGTGGAGGGGGAAGGGGCTCCCAGGCGCGATAATTCAGCAGAAACCTAGAGAATCAAAGAGCAGGGGAGTGAGATCCAGACAGAGGGAGAAGTTTATGCAGGCTCCAAGGTGGCTACAGCCTGGCATTTTGGAAAAGAGGGCAGGGTGACAGGAACAATGAGAGCAGAGGCTAGGTCACGGGGGGCCTCTTGGCTAGAGGGACATGATTTTACCCAAGGGCAATAAAATACCCACACTGCTTAAGGGGCTTTCTAGTTGGCTGGTGTTAGATGGGGTGAGAATCAAGAGTAGGCCACAAGATAATGAACGAGGAACTTGGACATCTCTGAGCTCAGAGTACTGAATACTAGATTGCCCTGGAAGTCCTCCCTAGCTACGGCTCCATCTTCTCCACCTGGTGGTCAGATGGGTACTCCTGGCTCACCCTTCACACAAGAACTCTTAATGTGGGATCCTTGGATGGGTTTAGTGGTAGGGGGAGAGTCTGTGACTTCCCTAAATTTATATGCAAAATGTATGTTCATGCATTTTTTTTCTAGGGGAGAGTCCATAACTATGGGTTTGAGCAGGGTCCATGACCCTTCAGAGGGTAGAGAGCCAGGTGCAGTGTGATCTGCACTTGATGCACATGGTCTGGCAGGCTGGGGCTGTGCCCGGCAGAGTGGTGGTTTCATATGTACCCTGACCTGCACGCTCCTGAGAACCCCAAACTCACCTCTGAAAAGCAGGAGCCCATCTATATCTAGGAGACACAAGTGGGCAAGACTCACATCCTTAGTTTTTTTCTTAAATATAAAGAAGTCACTAAAAAGTTAGCAAATGCTAGATGTTCCCATAGCTATCATCTGTTTTCTCTACAGACAGATAGATGATTTAAAAAATCATTTCCCAGATTCCCTCCTCTCAAGTGGATTTTTGTATATTCTGATATCTTCATCCAAGAAAACAAGAATCAGAGCTCTCTGAGGTGCTACCACCCAAATGCAGTGTCTTTCTTTTCAAAGGATACAAGCATACCCATTTCACTCCTGTCATGGGCAAGTGAGGAGGCTGGCAACATATCCCTTGATTCTGTGATTCTTACCTTCTGCAAAATATCCAGTAGTAGCTCAGAACCCGAGTGCCTCAATTTCTCTTCTAGGCTCTATTTGGAGACAGAGGGGAAGAGAGAGAACCCTCAAGGGTATTTTCACAGGAACATTAAACATGTAGCAGGACATGCTGGCAAAGTGCTAAGTGATCTCTCCCCAGGGACCTGGGGCCAATCTGAAGTGGAAGCCACGGGCACAGAAAGCCTGCCCTTGACAAGTCCCAGGTTACACCTGGATGAGCTGCAGAAAGAATGTCAGGAGACAGATTCTTCGTCTGCATTAGCTCTGACTGCTAAGCCTTGCATGGGTCACAGACAAGCTCCATGGCTGAACTGATCAGCCAGGAATTATAGTTAGACATCAGCACCTGATGGGCTTGCGTTGGACTTGACCCCCAAGTTAAAGTGGACATACAGAATGTGCAGGTGCCAGGGCCAGCTATATATACTGTCCTTTCCTACAGGGGACTCCAGCCCAGTAGTGAGTTCAGGCTCCAGAATCAGGCTGACTGCCTGGCTGGTGTGTGAGACTGGGCAAATAACTTCATTTCTCCAGGGCAACTTATCACACCCTAAAAGACCTGTAAGACCTGGCCCTGGCCCCTCTCTCTCATCTCATCTGCCACGACCTGTACCCCATCTCTGCTCATGCCACTGCAGTCACACTGGGCCTTCTTGTAGCAGCTTGCTCTCACTGGCAGAGAACCTCTGCACTCCCTGCTCCCTAAGACTTCCCACAGCCCGCTGCTTCACTGTTCAGGTTCTGGCTCAAATGTCCCCTCTGGGAGGCCTTCCTTGATTCTCCTACTTTGATGATACATTTCCTTGTTTTATTGACTTTATAGCCACTGCCATCCCCTGGGGTTTTTTTGCTTATTCATTTACATGTTTTCTCCTCTGGCTCTCCCATCTGAGCAGGTCTTCATCATTATGCTGCTGATCCTGGTGCCTGGCTCATGGAAGGCATTCAGTAAACACTTGGTGATGGAATAAAAATACTAGCCAACACTCACATCCACTTACCATGAGCCAGGCACTGCCTCAGGTACTTCATTCTCATGTACTCCTTACAACAACCCTATGCATTAAGTAGTATTACTAATGTTTTACTAATAAGAAAAAACCAACAAAAAACGAAGGCCCAGAGGTATGCAGTCGCTTGCCGAAGGTCACACATATTGTTTGGGATTGGGCCAGGATTCCAAGCAGGCAGGCTGTCTCTCAGGTCTGAGCTCTCCACAGCTGCACTCCACTTCTTTTCCAGTCAAACAGTCTGTGTGGTCGAACACAATGACAGTAACAGTGCCCACCACTTGGGTGCTGTGGTCCAGCCTAAGTATGCATTGAGTATGGTCCTGCTACAGAGTACACTCTCATCTCATGTGAACAATTCTGGTTATTGAATTGGGTCCCACATATGTGGCTAGAAAGGTTCAAATTCCGGGTTAAAAAATGTACATATTCCTGTCTGATCGGAAATGAGTTCTCAGAATGCTAAATGGTTTATATCAATAAAATACAAATGACAAACCCCCACTCTTTAAGATGCACAAGACCGGGAGTCACCCCAGTGAGCTAGCTCAGCGCACGGGATGTGTAAAGGAGGCAGTGTCATAAGCAGTTCCCCCTTGGCAAAGGAAGCTATTGCCTCCACACTGGCTTGTGCAGCAATGGCAGGTCCTCAGGGCGGGGATGGGAGGGTGGTGAGACCTCTTTCATATATCTTCTGGTTACCTTTGTACTTCCTGTCTCTTCCATTAGAGGCTTAAGCGCCTCAAGCTGCCTCTGAAATGATTTTGTCTAATGCTGATGATACAGATGAGAACGCTCAGGTGTGTGTGTGTGTGGGGGCGGGGTTGTCTGTGACCTGATCACTGCGCTCAATGAAACATATCTCCAGCTGTCCTGAGGACGTTGACTGTTTAAGTGGGCAATAAAAGCTGTTACTCTATGGCCAGGATGATAATTGGCTAAAAAAAAAATCATGAACATTTTTGGGAACTGCCCATGATCTTAAAATCCCGAGTGAAAAGGGAGTTGGTGGGAAACTATGCATTTCTTCAATTCGAGGGACCGTCAGCAAAGGCAGCCCAGGACGCGAAGAGCCTAAGGGAGGAGGAAGCTGATGGCTGGGTAGAGGGCGGGATTCCTAGGGACGCGCAGGTGCATCTCCTGCTCTCTGCCGCCAGACGCCAGACACCAGACTGCGCGGCCCTCCGCGGAGCCCGGGGACGAGGACCGGAGGTCCGATCCCAACACCCGAGGAAGCTGAGGACGTCACTTGGCGGGGAGGGCGAGGGTGGGAGCCCAAAGTGCCTCCTTCACCAGTCCTTCACCACCCACCGATCGCCCTCAGCACGCCCAGCTGCCCACCTGCCAGGGGAACGAGCGCAGCGCGCGCGCTGCCAGGAAGCGACGTTCGAAACTCTGCAGCAGGCTAGAGGTCTCCTCTCTTTCCTCCGGCGCCATGGCGGGGCGGAGCCGCAGCGTTGCTCGGGAGACTGGGCGGAAGCGGGGCGGCTCCCAAAGGAGGCGAGCACAGCCAGTAGCAGCTCGCGGGACCCGGGGCGGGGCTTGGGGCGGGACCCGGGGCGGGACCAGGCGCTGCTCGGCCCCTGGAGGGCTTGGGGTATCAAGGCGGGGCCAAGCGGAGCTCTGACCCCAAGGTGTAGTATAGAGGGGGCAGTCTTGGCGTCGCGGGATTGTGGGAGGTGGGATTTGGGGAAGGTTCGAGGCGGTTCCTGGAGGAGGGCTCTGAGCGTGGTTTGAGACCTGGAGGTGGGGCTAAGGTTGGAGGGGGGCGGGGCCAAGATATCGGGGCGTAGTCGGAGTGTGGCGCCAGATTAAAGCTTTTCAGAGAAGCAAGCACTGCTTAGTAGGGACTGATGAGGCTGAGATTCTGGTAATTATTCTTGCTGTTCCTGCACCTTTATTGAGGGTCTTTCTGGCAAGGGCTGCCCCTGCGACTTTATTCTAGCCCTGTGCCCTTCAGCGCCACCTGTCTGTGTGAATGGGCAGAAGGGACCCTAACAGCCCTCTTGCCCCTCGAGGGTGTAGGAGTGCCTACTAGGCTCAGGGCCCATGGGCTAAGGCCATGGTCACCCTGTCTCTCCTTGGAAAGGGGCATTTAGTTCAAGGTGCTGGTTTCCAAACTGGCTGGTACACGGAGTGCAAAGAGAAACGGAAGCGAGGCAGGCCACTCCAGACCGGTAGGTGGTTGGTTTAATAAGGGAGCTTACTTAAGAGTCTTGTCTTCTGTGTCTTCAACAGGAGCAGGTCTCTGCACTGCGCGCCAGAATTTTAAAATTTCTGTAGAGGCTTTCAGTCACATAACCAATCAAGATATCTTCAACACCACGGTTCTCTCAAGATGGTGCCCTAGAATCACCTCCCACTTTGGGAATGGCGGGCCGCGGAGGGAGAGGGTGAGGAGCCTACACCTGCCTGGAGCCACCTGCTGGTTAACCTGTGGTCATGTCCTCTGGATGACAATGTAGCAGGAGATAGCATAGGAAGAATCCTGAGATTTTGCTACTGTTGCTGGTCAGTGGCTAGTGTCCTGGTTGCCAGGCAACACCTTTTAACCCTTAGGTAGCTGCTAGGAATTGGTGGCCAGAAGGGAAATAAAGACAGGGCTTTCACCATTGCAATCTAACAAAGAACTTAATATAGAACTTAATATTTTCTTTTGCTAAAAGCAAAGAAAAGCATGCCTCACCCGTGACTTAGTAATTCTGAGCCTGGTCCGACGAGGCTGCCAGGCTTCCCAAACAACATAAACTATGATGGCGCGGGCGGGCGGGGGGGGGGGGGGGGGGGGAGCCCTTGAAAGTCTGTGTATCATCTCCGCTGGCTGGGAAAAGGAAAATACGCTGGCTGTGTATTCGTCCCAAGGCCTGGAAGGGGGAAGGGGAGAGGGTCTGTAGTGCCCAAAGAAAGGGCCATAAACAGCTTTGGTTAACTGCCTGCCTCCTGTCACCTACAAAATTAATAGAGTCTAGAGCAAGATAAGGATTCCAGCTAACAGACCCCCACATCCTGTTTAGGTAGTCATGTCTTCAGGGAAGGCTGGCACCACCTTTAACCACCAATCAAAATGTAACTTCTTCACCCCCACCCCACCAATTATAGAAGTCCTTAGAACAAGGGACTCTCTTAGCCTCTCCTCTAGCCTCGTGGCTCTCACACTAGGGTGGGGTTGGGGGTAGGAGGGCCCTGGACACTTGGCTTCTGGCAGGGGGGCCTCTGGCCACCAGGTCCCCGGCCACCCCCTTTTGGCCACCCAGCCTCTTACTACCTGGCCACCCAGGCCTTTAGCCACCCTTGCTTTTGCTCTCCTATTCACTAATAAACTTTGCTTACATGATAATAGACTGGCTGACTTGTAATTCTTCACTGCATCGGTGAGAAGAATCCGGGTTTCTCTGGTAACAACACAAGGCAGGAGCTCTTGCTCCCCCAGCTTTTGGGTCTAGCCCTAACTCATGGGGACTTTTGTTCATCAAATACTCATGAAGCACTTATTATATGCTTGGCACTGCCAAGCATCGGGGATGCAACAGTGAGAAAAACCAGGAGTGGCCCCTGCTGCCCAGGGGCTCAGGATCTCTTGCACTAATTATCACACAGATAAACGCGGAAGCATGATGAGCACATGGAGCTGAGTGGCAGTTCTCACTTCGGAGGAAAAAGGAATCTGAAAAAAGAGTAAGAGGGCTCTTGGGTGTTGTGGGGTGGTACAGAGGTGAGGTTGGGGAGGAAAAGAAAAAAAGTAATGATTTCTGTTCGATATTATGTCCTGAGTGAAAGTCGGGGCAGACAGTTCCCGAGTCACCAGTGCTGCCTCTGATCTCTGAACTGTGTTCAAAGCCTACATGGTTACCTTCCCAAATCTCTCACGAAACTCCACTTAGAAGCGTCTTGAGAGCTAATTTGTAAAACATACTTGCAGAAGGTAAATGAGAGGACAGAGTAAATCTCATTACCCCTTTTGGATGGGAAACACCAGAGGCCTGCTCAGCTAGGAGAACAAGGGAGGAGGATTAATTCTAATTGAATGTATTCTCTCATATCTGTTGTGCTTCTTCCACAACCAAGTGAACACAGGATCCGAAACAAAAATCGTTCATCTTTTGTTCCTGAAATACTGTTGATTTAAATGAAGAAGAAGCTGTGCTGTGGTTATTGCTGTGTTTTTACATAGAATTAATAGTTTCTGCCCTGGCTGGTGTAGCTCAGTGGATTGAGTGTGGGCCTGCGAACCACAAGATCGCGGTTCGATTCCCAGTCAGGGCACATGTCTGGGTTGCAGGCCGGTCCCCTGCAGGCCAGTTCCCAGCAGGGGACGAACGAAAGGCAACCAAACATCGATGTTTCTCTCCCTCTCTCCTTCCCTTCCCCTCTAAAGAAATAAAAAATAAAATCTTAAAAAAAAATAGTTTCTTGTTCTGAGATGTTGCATAAATCCTCTTTAGTCACAGTGTCCTGAGAAGGAGTCACCTGTGATCCAACTATGAATCTTAACTTTGAGTCTTGTTCCTAAAAGGATGTCCTTGGGAGCCGGGCCAGGTGTGGTGGTTTATTCTTGTTTCGACCAGCTCTCCGCCTGTAGGAGAAAACCAATGGGAATGGATCAGTTAAACTCATAAATATAGGGCTTATTTTATGAACACACATCATAGCTATTAATTACCTTTCCCCTGTGGAGCAAAAAGACCTGTATAGTCAATGTTACAATAATACTATAGGATGTTATATTAAGATATTAATCAACCTAGGCTGGCCCAACTTTTCCGAATGCCACAGATGGGAGGCAGATTGGGGAAGGACCCTGAGTGGGCAACAGCATTGATCTGCACCCAGAAGAAAACTATCTTTGCATGTGAGTTCTCAGGAGCAACAAAGGTAATACATTCCAGGTCTGAATCTGGAAGGATCAAGGCACCGAAGGTATGTTTAATGTTCTGTGGACCTCAAAGGTGTGGTATATTCAGGTGTAAGTGACAATTAGGACTGCTCTTTAACCCAAGTAAAAATTCTAGGTGGTGGTAATATGGAGAGAAGCATTAGGATACATCCCAGTGGTCCTTCCAGTGGCAAGAGGGAAGCTATGCTAAAGATTCAGCTTCTGGATGTGAGGATTTCAATAATAAAATGTCTGTATGGAATGGCTGCCTTTTATAAATTAAGCTGTGGGCATGGCAATTTAATCAGTACCTTGCAGTTTTTCCTGTACCTCTCCTATGGCTCATGGTTTCAGTGAAAAAAGACCAATTGATTTCTTTCTAAAATATTGCTTCAGGGTGTAGAGACCTTTATAGGTCATGTTTCAAGTTACAGGATTTTATAGTTTAAATATAAGTTATATTATATGTGGGCTTTGAAATGTAGTTAAGTTTAAGTAAAGTTCCAACTTTCCTTAGTTTATAGTGTTCCTCATGCTATGTTGAAGTAGCAGAATGGTCAGGATGGGGTGTAATAACACAGGAGGCTCAGTCTAATGATAAATGATTGAGATACAGAAAGCAGTGCACCCGGATCATATAATGTGCTTTGATGGGTGGCAGGACCAATATTATGGGTTGAATTATGTCCCCCCGAAAGATACCTGGGAACGTGACCTTATTTGTAAATAGGGTCTTTGCAGATATGATTAAGATGAGATCCTATTGGATTACAGGGAGCCCTAAATCCCATGACTGGTGCCCTTAGAAGACAGAGACACAGGGAGGAGGCGGCTGTGTGACAGTGGAGGCAGAGACTGGAGAAAGAACACCAAGGATTGCTGGCAACCACCAAGGCTAGAAGAGGCAAGGAAGGGTCCTTCCCCACAGGTTTCAGAGGGACCATGGCCCTACCAACACTTTGATTTTGGACTTCTAGCCTCCAGATCCGTGTGAAACAATACATTTCTGTGTTTTAAGCCACCTGGTTTTGGTGCTTTGTTATGGCAACCCTAGAATACTACAAACGGTGCATAATTTGGGGCAGGGGGTGGGGGAGGTAGTGCACAAAGAAAATGCAGGGTCCTTGTTGAAAATTAAGAATTTTGAGACTGTGACAGTAGATTATTAAACAGAGCTGGTGGCTCTTCTGAGTCCTGGGCCCAAGCTGGCTCTGGTTGCTGGGTTCTCAAAGTGCTGGGCGCCCTGTGGCAGGAAATGGTCGACACGGATTCTCACTTTGTGCACCAACCACAGGAAACCCAAAGGCTACTCACCTCTTGTTCCGACGAAGGGCTATGCATATCATGCTAGTGATAAACAGAACTTCAAGAACTCCTGTGACCACCCCAAGACCTATTGCCATGTCTCTGAGAGCAGAGGCCTTCTGCATCTCTCCTCCTGTTGAAAAAAAGTCAGATGGTTTTTACGTGTCCGATTATTAAGATGCCATTCCAGCTGCTCCTGGGTCCCTGGGAAGTTTCCCATCCAGGCAGTAGTGAATATTAATTATGGAAATGAAATGTACATTTAACCCAAGAAAGTGCTCACTGTAGAGAAATCTCACAGGGCAAGTTGTTGAAATCCGATTTACTAAATGGCCTATTTGCCAAATGACCCATTTGCCTAATGACTGCTTTGCCAAATGACCAATTTGCTAAAAGCCAATTCACGGAGAATCAGTTGTGGGATGTCCTGCCTATCGGTAACTGATGGTCAGACACACCTTATGCTGGCTGCCAATGTATTATGGGACAGAAGGAGGGTACAGATAGTTGAGCAAAACCCTAACGTTAAAAAAATCCTTAATAATTTTGTGAAGCGGTCATTTATTTAATTAGTTTTCTGCAAAATGGCCTGCTGTCTGTAAGTTCATAAGAAGATCATGAGCAGTGGCTTGGAAGAAGGGAAAAGGGCGCAGGAAGCTGTTCTTTATACTCTGTTCCAGTTGAGGGTGGTTGCTCCAAGCACTTGATAAATCATCAGGCAGTATCTAAGTCTCTCCAGGCAGAAGGAAAGCTGGCCAGTGTTTGCAAACAACTGAATCCCAGAGATGATTCATTTATTCCTTTCTATCACCCAGATTTGCAATTTTGAAGTCTTGAGAATTATCAACCTCATCATTTACAGGAACCCCTGCCCATTTTTTTTTCCAGCAAGGAGTGGAATGGGCAAGCAGCATTTTTCTAGGCACCAGCATGCACGGAATTGTAGAAGGAAGGCTAATTTTTGGTATTTATAAGGGGAATCTGGGGGGCAGACTGAACATAATTTCTGAGGATCGGAAGGATTACTCTCTAACTTCCTCTGTGGGGAGCCTTCCATTTGCCCCGGAGGCACTCTGTAAAATCTCACCAGTAGGTCCTCTGCTGTCTTTTTAGAGCTGCTGATATCTTGTTCTGGGGGTGCAGAAGCTGCTGGGAAACAGGACTATTGTGCTTGATCTCACCCCCTCCCCAGGAGACTCCATTATGAATCTATTCTTTCTCAGGACAGAACAGACTACACTGCCAGTTTTCTTGTGGTTGCTTTTGTATCCCACCTGGCTGCCGGTCATGAGAGTCCACAAGCATTTCCTGGGTAACTGCCAGGGAGCCGTTGTTGGGTTCGGGGGTAACCCCCAGGAGCTTACACATGAGTGGGTAGATATGTATGCTGTCAAAAGGGTCGGCCAGGTGATTCTTCTTGAAATTTGGCCCGAAAGCTCTGAATATGATCTTCATGTCCATGTGGACATTATCAAAGCCATGATCTCCTTTGTTGAAATATATTATAACTCGCTGAAAAATAACAACAAAAAAGCCATTTTAGATCCCTATTCATTGAAAGAAAACTGCCCCTTATGTA